GTTCAGAGCCGTTTTCAGGTAAACCTTTCTGTCCAGTGAGTGCTTACCCATCATATTCGTGAACGCCAAGGTACCGTGAGAGAGTTCCCATTTACAATAAACTCATAAAGTACATCATTCTGATTGAAGCTAGGGGCATACAAAACTGTCTAACAAACACCTAGTGCGGTACCATAATCAAGTCCAGGGTTATGTGTAACTTTCCAGTTTTGCCCATCAATCTCAAAGGTCATAGGCATAATTGGAAAATGGTCCGGGTTTAGTGTTTCATCCAAACACACACTGCATGTGCTTCGGGTCTAACCCTAGCAACTGTAACAAGTTGCCCCAACTTCTTTGGCAGTACATCAGTGTCAGCCTTGGTAGGATAAACTCCCCAAGTCTATCCAACGGCTAAGAACATTCTAAGCTAACACGAGTCTCATAAGTGTCCCTTTTATAGGGTAAATACACAGAAACATATCGATATTGACATGAAACAATAATGTAATTTTATTCATTTACAATAAATGTATCTGTATATTAATCTGATTGGAGCTAAGGGCATACACTGTCTAACATTTGCCACCTCCATTGCGTCCTGCCTCTTAGTGTTTTACACGACAATGCCTACGACAACATAGGGAGGTTGATTAAACAACAAAGGAACCCATGTCACTCCCTATTGGTTCATCGGAGATTCCAGGTTCGACTAACATAGACCTAGGTGTGCCTCTTGTTTCCTTTGATCGTTTAGTTCCTATTGATACTACTACCCCTTCTCCTAACACCATTGCGGATGACCTAGATCTCCCTATTACACTCTAAAAGGGAAGAGGAAGTGTAATACTCATTGCATCTCACTGTCTTTCATACAATGGATTATCCCCTTTATGCCGAGCCTTCCTTTCTGCCCTCGACTTTGTGTTTATACCTAAGTGTTAGTGAGGTTCTCTCAAAACCTGAGTGGAAGACAACTATGCAGGAGGAAATGAAAGCATTGATTAAAAATTAGACATGGAGATTGTGGATTTACTTGATGGCAAGGAGATTGTTGGATGCAGATGGGTTTATATAATGAAGTACAAGGATGATGGAAGTATAGAAAGGTACAAGGCGAGGCTGGTTGCAAAAGGGTACACTTATACTAGTGGCATAGATTACTTGGAGACTTTTGCACCAGTGGAAAAAATGAGCATAGTCCGGATTCTTCCATCACTAGCAGCTACATACTCTTGGCCACTCTTCCAACTTAATGTAAAGAATGCTTTTCTTAATGGGGACTTGCTAGAGGAGGTGTACATGGATCTTCCGGTTGACTTTTACAATGATGTAGATAAAGGAAAGGCATGCAGATTGAAGAAGCCTTTATATGGTTTGGAGCAATCACCTAGAGCTTGGTTTGACAGGTTTAGAAGTGCATTGGTTGTATTCGACTATACTCAAACTAAATCTGATCATATTCTTTTTGTGAAAAAGAGGGGGTCACTGGTGTCAGTTTTGGTAGTGTATGTGGATGATATTATAGTAACAGGAAATGATTTGAGTGAGATTGATACCTTGAAGAAGAACCTGCACAAAGAATTTGACATTAAGGATCTTGGGGAGTTGAAGTACTTTATAGGCATTGAGGTGGTAAGGTCCAAGCATGGGATCTTCATGTCACAGAGGAAGTATGTTTTGGATCTACTACAAGAGGCAGGAAAACTTAGGATAAGGGCAGCCGATACACCTATTGATCAGAACCACAGGATAAATGATTCAGAAGGTGAACTAGTGAAGGATGTATGATGGTATCAGAGATTAGTGGGCTAGTTGCTATATTTATGTATGACATGAATAGACATCTCTTATGTAGTGAGTGTGGTATCAATACATGCATGCCCCACGAGTTCAGCATTGGGAGGCTATTGACAGGATACTTTTCAATTTGAAGGGACACCTAGGTAGAGGCATACTATTTGCTGACCATGGACAGTTGAAGTTAGAGGCTTACATAGATGCTGATTGGGTAGGGTGCCTACACGACAGGAGATCTACATTAGAAGTTTGCACTCTTGTTGGAGGTAATCTAGTTTCATGGAAGAGTAAGAAACAACAAGTTGTGGCAAGGTCAAGTGCAGAAGCTGAATTTAGAGCCATGGCACATGGTGTTTTAGAGTTCCTTTGGGTCCGATCCTTGTTAGGGGAGATTGGAGTTGAGGCCGAAGAACCTATGATGCTATACTGTGACAATCAAGCAATAATTAGCATTGCCCACAACCCAGTTCAGCATGATAGAATGAAGCATATAGAAGTGGATAGACACTTTATAAGGGAAAGGGTGACATCCGGAGAAGTTTGCTTACCATATGTTGTATCTGACTGGCAGCTTGCTGATGTTCTTACAAAAGGTGTTGCAAGAAACAAGTTGGAGCATGACCAACGCAAGTTGGGAATGTGTGACATCTATTCCCAACTTGAGGGGGAGTATTGGGTTTTGGGTTGATATCACTTGTTTTTTTTTTTCTTAGCATAATTAGCGAGTTATTGGGCCCAAGGCCCATTAGTTTATGTTTAAGTTAAGAGTGTTTATTTAGATTTTACAAGTTGCTGACTTACTAAGGGCATACTTGTCTTTGTATTTAGTTTTTTACTTGTTAGTATATAAACTAATGAAAGGGGGTGGCCAGACCTAATTTTGGCTTCTCCCATTTTCTTCAATTTCTCTCCTCTTTTCTTCTTTGCATAAACCTTCTCGAGTCTTGTTTGGATATGGGTGGGTGGTACTCAAAGAGATCATCAACATTGAAAGTTTTGGATATATTCATGGAAGTAGGAAGGTCTACAACATAGGAATTGTTATTAATCTTATTCACAATCTTGTAGGGTCCAATCTTCTTTGGTTGCAATTTGTTGTATTGCCCTATAGGGAACCGGTCCGTCCTTAGAAACACCATTACTTCATCCGCTTCTTGGAAAAACTTCGATTGCCTATGCTGATCAGCTGCTTCCTTATACTTGGCATTGGCCTTTTCTAGGTGTTTCTTTACTTTTGGAAAAACACCCATGTTTATGCCTTGACTGTTTGGGAAATACTCTGCAATTAAGACTAATTGCCCCTTCTCATAAGGTTGCACTTACATGCCAACCTTGTTAGGCTTGAACTGCCCAAGCATAGCCACTGGTTGAAGAAAATTTATTCCACATACTGATCAATTAGTCTTAATTATTTTATTTATGATTAACATAATCCTACATTATTTTATTCCACATACACTGAATGACATGTGATTGTAAATGAATAAATGAAACTGTTCTTTTATTCATGAAAAAAGCAGTGTACATGTCATATTGGATCTGAAGGGCATACATCGTCTGACACTCAGGTGTTTTGCTTGAGATCTTTTCTTGTTGAGCTAGTAGCTAGTTATGAGAAGCCTTTGAGGCTATATTGTGATAATCAAATTTCTACCAATATAGTATAAAACCCAATGTCACATGACGGAACTAAGTATATTGAGTTTGACATGCAGTTTTTGGAGAAATGGTTGAATCTGAGGAAGTTTGCTTGCTGTACAATTTTTATGATATGCAGTAGCTGATATCTTCTCTATGGGAATCATTAAGTCTAAGCTGGAGACTGACTTACAGAAGTCGGGAATAACTAACATCTATTTCCAACTTGAGGGGGAGTGATGAAATATTATTTCCTATTATTGGTTGCTGTTTTATGTTCCTTTTATTTGTTTTATTAATGTTTTATTCCTGGTGTGTAGCTGCTGTATTTATTTTTTGTTTTATATGTTTCATATTGGTGGCAGGGGTAGAATGATCTTTGTACAGCATCAGTAGCTTAATATAAATAGATGAACAGGGGAAAGCAGCAGCATATTCTTTTGCTTCCATCTCATTCTTCTCTTCTCTTCTTCACTATCTTCTCTTTAATTCTATTTCTTTTTGTTTTGTTGACTTAGAAACATTGTTCTCTGTTAGTTATACTTGACAAGTGAGAGTCATATCCCCATTTCCTATTTCCGTAACTGGCCATCAGATCTGTCTGCAAATTAATACAATGTTTATATTACTACTACTAGTATCACTGAATTTTTTGTATTGGTAATTTCTAGATAAAACTTGGGTCACAATACCATTTTTATATGGAGACACAAACTGCACTTGCTGTGCCAGAAGAAGACAATTGCATGGTTGTCTACAGCTCGGTTCAGTGCCCTCAGATCACACAGATTGTAGTTGCAAGATGTCTTGGAGTTCCCTGTCATAATGTCCGTGTGATTACAAGAAGGGTTGGTGGAGGGTTTGGTGGAAAGGCCATGAAGGCTATGCCTGTAAGTTGTCTGCTTGACTTTCTCAATGAATAATTCTCCCTTCTTGAGAGTTTTCCCTGTTATTAATTTCAGAGCTAAAAATGAAGCTTCAAAAAGGAAATTATAAAACATATAAGTAAAACTGTGTCTTCATACATGAGGTTGAAGGAATATATGATTTCTATGAAATGACCCGCCCATATCAATGAGCCAAGATACTGAAATACTGCTTTGGAATTAATCCAACTACCTAGTTTTGGAATTATAAAATGATAAAGTTTTTTACATGTTTTGCATGTGATGCTTCTGTTTTCCTGGGCTTATATGTTTGAGGGCCTCTCAGATTTCCACTTGGATATTTTTCTTTCTCTATTGTATTGAAATACTTGTCACATATAAAAAAAATATTTCCTTGTTTAATTCTGTAAAGGAAGAAACCTGTGTCACAATGTGATCCTTAGAAAAAAACCCCATGTCGGATATCTATGTTAGATACATCATACATGTGCCCCTTTTCTGTACTGTGTTAGGAGACAATCCTTCTTCACCGTTTTTTTATCTACTTAAATTGACAAGTGGATCCCGTATACCTGTAGGACATTTTGATTTTTATCATAAGTCCATAAGGCCACTGGAAAGGGAGTTGGTAATTTACTCATGGTGTTTTTATTTTTTTTTTAATTTTTTAGTTCTACACGAGTTTGTAGAGGTATCAAGAGTTTTTTGGAGTTGGTTTTAGGTCTTATATGGATTTGAGAGGTGGGAGATGATGTATGTTTTGTTTCTTTTTGTAATTTTCTTCTTTTTATGGGTTAGTGATCTCTCATCACCCCATCTGATTGTAATCTTTTTTTATTCATGAGTTTTCTTTTTTATTTATGTTCAAAAAAAGGTCAGCAAATCCAGTGGCTCATAATGTGGCTAGACTAGGGGTAAGTAGGCCTTAAATGTTTTGGGCTTACTTGTAGTTTTGATCAGTTTAATCTATAACGAGAAATGAAATAATTAGCAAATGCTAGTCTATATCCTGGACTTCTTTGCACTTGTTGTTCATATTCATTTTTCTCTCGTTAAAAAATTACATATGTGCCAATATGAAACTAAACTGCAGATTTTTAACAGTTTTAATACTCCCTCTCAAGTTGGGACATAGATGTCAATCATGCTCAACTTGTCACATAAGTCATTGTGCTGAAAATGATGTAGGCCCTTTGTAAAAATGTTTGCAAGTTGATCTTGGAACTAATATATGGAGTGGACACTTCCCTATTAACAAGTTTCTCCATTATAATGATGTAGGCCCTTTTTAACTCTTGCAAGTTGCTTTGAAAAATGGGTGAGCCAAGAGTGGAGAAACCTTTTCGTGTATTCAAAGGATGGGGCCTCTCTATTCCTGTTTAACTTTAGTGGAAAGAATATAGGGAAAATGATCTAGTGAGGGAATGAAAAAAGAAAAAAAAGAAATCCTGAAATTTTCGTCAGTTGTTGGTCCCCTTGCCTTGGAATGGATATAGAGAAAATGAGATATATATGGATTGATGTGTATGGGATACCATTGCATGTCTGGAGTATAGAGGTTTTTAGGGTCCTCGGGAATGCTGTGGGGAGCTTTAAAAAATTTGACCTCAGAAACAGAAGATGGGAGAATATACCATTTACACGAATCTTAGTTGAGACTGAAGATGTGATGTCGATTCCAACACATTTGGATCTGTTCTATCTTCAGAGGTTTTCAAACTCAGGATTGTGATAGCAAAGTGAAGATCCACTGTTTCGCTGGAAAGACCAGAAGGCAGCAAGAGTGGCCTTCAAAGCAGACAACCTGAAGAAATCACATTTGGGCCGGTCTACTCTGCAAGAGTTGCTACGAAGACGAAGGGTCAGGGGCTTGCGTTGTAAATTTGAAAACTTCTAAGCCCCTTGACTGAAAAGATAAGAATTTTTTGAATTTAAATTCAAGTGGGACCCCCGTCTAAAAGGAAAGAGTTATGATGGTCCTAGTGGGGTCGGCTCAATGGCCTGCTCGACCCAGCAGCAGCCCAACTGCTTTTCTTTCATATACAGAGCTTCTACGATTATGAGCAAGAGCTCAGAAGTCTCAGGGGTTGCCGGAGAAGGAAGAAGTACCTTCCTGTAATCTGGATAGATTGGTGGTGACTGTTGGTTTGTCAGTTTCAGACTGGGTTTTGGGTTTTGGGGTTGCCTGAATTTGCACAAGTCAGTTAACAAGATCATGGGAACAGATTTTGGGAGGTGTTGGGATTACAAGTTTGTAATTTGGACAACTGGTCTTGATAAGTCTTTTCTTATTTTCTTTATTTCTTGGTGGTGCATTGTATCTTGGCGTTGCCTTAACAACTAATCAGTCTGTATCTTTTTTCCCTTTTAATGAAATTTTATTTTTAGTATAAAAAATAGAAGGCATAACAGTAAGAGTTGCACATTGGGTAAAAGCTTTGAAACTTTTTCATTCATTTTCAGTTATTGGCATTGTAAGATATTGGACAGAAGTGGCACAAATAGGAACAACAAAGGCAAAGGTACATGTGAATTGGAACCCACCAGCTGATAACAAGATAAAACTGAACTTTGATGGTAGTTCCATCGGTAATCAGGGGAGAGCAGGCATTGGGAGTGTGTTCAGGAACCATTTGGGCTCGGTGTTGGCATTGTATTCCAGGCCAATTGTTAATGGTGACTTGGTTAAAGCTGAACTAGTGTCATTGTTGCAAGGATTAACACTACCAAAGCAGCTTGGATTTAGAGAGCTAGAAGTGGACGGGGATTCAAAACTAATCAGTTCAGCTCCTTGGATTTATATGCTTGCCTTCAAGGAAATAACTTACCATTTTAGGGAACTCAACTCCACCTTTAGCTAGGAGTGCAAATGGAATGGCTGATGTACTTGCTAAACAGGGGGTTAATAGACATCAGTTCTTTTGGGCTTAAGTGTTGGTTTATCTTTGTTGGGTCTTGTTGGGTTGCTCCAACTAGTTTTAACTTTACTAATGTTTCTTTTAATGCTTAATGAATTCCTTTACTGATAAAAAAATATTAAAACATAAATGGAATAGCCCACATATCTTGATCCCCTCTGAAATATTGCATGATTTTAAAACTTTTGATCATCGGAGTTTTCTATGACTTTGGAATGTTTATCTACCTACTTTCTGGATATTCTTTTGCCCCACATTACATGTGTAGGAATTACAAGTTATTATGTGATGTTTATAGGTTGCTACAGCATGTGCTCTTGCAGCACATAAGTTACAGCGTCCTGTCAGGATTTACCTCAATCGCAAGACAGATATGATAATGGCAGGAGGACGGCATCCTATGAAAATAAACTTTAGTGTTGGCTTCAAATCCAGTGGGAAGATCACAGCTCTACACCTTGATATATTAATTAATGCTGGCATATCTGCAGATATCAGTCCCATCCTACCACTGAATATATTGGGAGCCTTGAAGAAGTACAACTGGGGATCTTTGTCTTTTGATATAAAGATCTGCAAAACAAACCATTCAAGTAAGACGGCAATGCGGGCTCCAGGAGATGTGCAAGGATCATTTATTGCTGAAGCTATCATTGAGCATGTAGCATCAACACTATCTCTGGAAGTCAATACTGTCAGGAGCAAGAATCTCCACACATTTGAGAGTCTCAAGCTTTTCTATGACAGTAGTGCTGGGGAAGCCCTTGAGTATACTTTGCCTTCAATTTTGGATAAGTTGTCTGCATCTTCAAAGTTCCACCAAAGGGATGCAGAAATAAGACAGTACAATAGTTGCAGTAAATGGAGGAAAAGGGGAATCTCAATGGTGCCCATTCTGTATGAAGTGTCATTAAGGCCTACTCCTGGGAAGGTAAGCGTTCTCAATGATGGGTCTATAGTGGTTGAAGTTGGAGGGATTGAGCTCGGCCAGGGGCTCTGGACAAAGGTGAAGCAGATGACTGCATTTGCTCTTAGTCCAGTAAAATGTGATACAAGTGGAGACCTCTTGGAGCGTGTACGGGTCATTCAGGCAGACACATTGAGCTTAGTACAAGGGGGGATGACTGCTGGGAGCACCACATCAGAGGCAAGCTGTGAAGTAGTTCGAATCTGCTGCAATGAACTAGTTGAAAGACTAACCCCTCTCAAGGAAAGGCTGCAGGAGAAGATGGGTCCAATCTCATGGAATATGTTAATTCTCCAGGTGATTATTTGAATTTAAATTATTTACTTTCTGGATTTTTCTCAAGTCATGATGGAGAGGAAGAAGACATTCTTCTGTGACACCGTTTCATAAATGCGTAGGTCTCAACTTGGTCATCAGATGATTTTAGCCATCTTTATTATAAATTTGATGTTCAAGTTTATATGATTACATTCTTAGCAAGAACTAGCTGGTGGGGCCTATCAACACGTCCTAGTACATGCTAAATATATATTGGTGATTGGATTTCTTCATTGTTTTGCTTATATTTTGTCACAAGTAGTTATAATCTTCATTTCTTGGAAAGCTCCATCTTTCTAATTCAATATGAGAAGAGGTATAATCCACAAATACAGGTTTAGTTGTAAGCTAAGCCTGAAATACAGGTTTCACATCCTATGCATGTTTAAGTTACTATATGTGCTACCTGTGGTGCTACCCATATTGTCCATATGTTAGGGACATCCTAGATTGCCCATGGCCATAAAGTTGCGTTATTTAAAGGAAGAATATTGTAGATTATTTGAAATTCTCTTAGACAAAGTATTTCTGATATGAATGTTGTGTCTATGTGTGGCGAAATATAGAGGGAGAGAAGAAGAAAATTTTCTTTGTTGATCATAAAAACATATTGAGCATACAACTTAAATAAGAAAAGATAGGAAAGACAAACC